TAGTTCCTAAGAATAAGCTCAAAATCATGTGTTGGATGTTGCTCAACGCCTTTTAAAATCATTGCAGAACTCTTGCTTAGCAACAGTCAGCCAACTTTCCCTGCACTTTTAAATTCTCTATGGAATTGAAGGAGTTTTCAGAGAGCTCCAGGAAAAAATATAAAGAACAAAAATAACGAAAAATTAGTCAAATGTGGCCAAACAGTTACAAATCCCTGCCTCAGACTTTTCCCAATAACTATGAATAAAAGGAATTTTGCATCCATTCTAGCTAATTTCTAATGGAAAAGTTTGTGATGCTTATACATCAACTCTGACATTACTTTTGGCAGCAATCACTTATATTTTTATCTAATGAAACGAGAGTTATGTCCTGACTATAGGACTGCATTAAGAATTAAAGAGCCTTTAAAGGAGGACTGCAAAGTAAATTTGCTTCTCCATTTTGATGCTCTGTTGTTTCAAGTACAAGCTCATTTTCCTTCCACTTTCTGGGCAGTGAGGCAAAAGATGACTCCTTTTTTTTCCTTCCCACCTCCTTCTCCTTCAGCAGGTATGGTATGTTGGCTCTTCTTTACTTCAGTATTACCAGAACCCTGTTGGAAGTTTCAGTTAAATAACTGGCAACTTTACTGCCTGCATCTTTTTCAAAGAGATAAGGCTATTGAATAATTAGCAAAGACACCTTTTCCCCACAGATTCATTAAGCATTAAGCTTCTTATTTATAATATCACAACAGAGCAAAGATCCCCAGTTGTGAGGCCAAATCCAAGCCTGCAGACTGTGCACTGATAGGCATGAAAGCATTTGTCCCAAAGAGCTGACATTCTTTGAGCCAGAACATAATGTGCAAAACAGACAAGGACAAACACACAAAACACGATGTGAAATCTCCACGTGGACGCCGGCTGGCTGGGGAGCAGCTGCACCAAGGATTATTCACGCACATGGAACACTTTTTGGGTCAGCTTGAAAACTCTTAACTCACAGGAGAGACTTTTACAAAGAAAGAGAAGTTGAAATATCTTCCCTCTGCTCCTTTCTAAACTGTATCACCACTACCATTCATAGGACATGAGTATCTCTTTCACTGAAAAGAAACAATGGTGAAAGTCTTCGTCAGCATTTCGAAATATTAATTTTTCAAAATGAAAACTCCTGTTAGGTGATTTTAATGCTTCAGTTTCTTTTTTTTTTTTTTTTTGTTCCAGAAAATACACTTTTCACTTGAAATGCAATTTCTTAGCTAGTTTATGTACGTCACTAAAAATGATCCAACCTTTCAGCAAAAAGATAATCAGAAATAATTAAAACTTCCAGACCAGCACCCAGATAAGGAACCAAAAGAGAAAGAGCTTAACCTCAGGAAGAAAATGACACAGCATTCTTATTACTGAAGTGCTTTATTGTGGAAACAGTGAACTTCCCAAGGGAAAAAACCTCAGTTTGAGGAAGAGGGACTAAACTACACGCAAAGACATGTAGTCTCTTCTGGATTCCAAAGGTGATGCCTGGGCCAGAAGAGTGCTGGCTCGAGCTCCACAGCCTGCTGGCATCACCTCCTGCGCCTGTCCCAAGTGGGAGGATCTCTGTACAGCTGCTCTGCTCTCAGCTGGACTTCTCACAGCACCCCTGGTGCACTCTAGAAAAAATGGAAGCCAGCGTGGTACTTTTTAAAAATGAAGGTCTGACTAAACCGGAGGCTTTTGTTTTCAAAGCCCACATCAGTTCATTTACCAGCTGCCTTGATAAAATGCCCTAATGGAAGGCATTTCATGCAACTGCACAGTTGCAGTTTTGCCCAAAATTTGGAAATAACAGGTGCCCGCACAACTGGTTTTCAGGAGAGACAACGTGGACCTTAAACAGAGTGTGTTACCATACAGCCAGAACACAGCAGAGAGTAGAAAGAACTAAAGGCAGTACAATCCAGGCAATCATGATACCAAATACAAAACCTGGGCACTGGTTAAAACATAAATAGCAATTATTGGGCTACATTACTGCATTACTCCTTTTTTGGGCTCCAAAATAAAAAAACGTCATGTCTTTGACAGAATCTTGAAAACCCTGAACTATCCAAGGCACCAACACCTCACTTTTAGTCAGTGTTGTCTACTTGCCCCCTGTTTCTGTGCTGCTCTACATCTGTCCCAGTCACTTTGCTTTATACTTCACATGCCATTTACCAAGCTGTCATATGAAATAAAATAACAAAATAACACCAATACAATAACAAAACCAAACACCACTCATTTCATTGTCTACAAAGTGATTTACAGGTATTTGTTACTAGATTTCCTGCTGAATGAAGATCCCAAAGTTAGTGCACTGTGTATTTCTAGCAGTAGCCAAGGAATAGGATTGATTAAATTATAAATTATGATTATTCTACAGCATCTGAATACTGAAGGAGACTTTTAAAAATTTACAATAAATGGAATCACTGAATTGGTTCTTCAAGAAAATAGCTATAATTTCAAGTAACACATATGCAGTGAAAGAAATATATTATTAATATAAAAAAGGTAAATAAGTACGATGAACACAACTAATGCTAAAAAAAAAAGAAAGAAAATTAATTATTTAGTATTCTTCCATCTGATTTTCACTGCTGTGCACTACAATAGAGTGTAACAATATTCAGGTTCATGTTATTCAATGATAACCCCTGTATTCCGACACATTTGATTTTCCTTGAAATCATCCAAGCAAAGCTGTCAGTAAGTTTTCATTTGTGAGAAGTAATAGACACTGCAAAATGGCATGTCAGCATTAATGCAGACATTCTAGGATAGAAGGCTTCCTTTCACATTACACAAAGAATCAAACCTGATATATTTGCAGTCTACTGAATTCCCTCAAACTTTCCTTGTTTTAAGGAAAGTCTCCTCTAGTGACCTACTTGAAAGTAATCACAGGAAGCTGACAGCGATATAGGATACAATATAGATGCACAGTGTAAATCAAGAGACTCTCCCAGAAGAACTTGTATTTTAAAAAATCCTTTCAAAAAAAAGCAAAGCATTTGAAAAAAAAAAAACCAAAAACGTGTGTATTAGCCAGCAGGAGAAAACTGGAAGTAATCTGAAATACTTTAGACTAATTAAAATTAACTCTCTGGTGCCAGCAAGATACTTTTCTGTATCTAAGCCAACTTTTGCACAAAACTAAAGCAGCACCTGAATATCTTTGAAGACAGAGGATGCTTCATTGATTTTTTTTTTTAATTGATTGGTTCTGAACTTATAACATAAACTAACCTCATTTTCATTTGTCTGTTTTGCAGAGTTTTGAACTAAAACAACCTGAAACTCTGTACTACATATTTCTGCAAGTCTTTGTCCATAAAAGAACAAGATGCACCATGCAGGTGCCTACAGGTTTTAAAGTAGTGCACTCTAAGCTGTGGAGAGCAGGAGCTCTCTTGATGTGTGTATTGGCGAACCAGTTTGTCAGCAGGACACAATTATGATTAAAAACCCCAATAAATCTCATCACAAGTCACACAAAATGTTGTTTATAATCCTTGCTACCTATGGCTTCAGTGTGGAAGCCAAGAAGCAAATCCAGCAGAGACCATGGCTGTGGGTTAGTGAATATCCAGCTCTTGGCTTGCTAAGTATCAGACAAGGGTAACCTTTCATTTTCTAGGGGCATTCTGGCCCCTGGAGGCAGGCATGTGGCAAGTGCCACACTGCTGGACAGGTTGCCACCTTTGGAGAGCCAGAGCCAGACTCTTCTATGCTCTGGCATGTTTAGAAAAATAATATCAGTACTGTCCAAGGTCGCTATGCCTTGCAGTTCCTTGCCAATTATGTCTCCTAGATATCAATTTCCACATAATTCCTCTGTCTCAGAAGGATTCTCTGGGTGCCCCAAGTCCCTCATAAATGTTTATGTTGCTTTTTAAGTCTTGTAAGCCGTTCTGCAGGTTCCTAAATTCTTCCTTAACTGATTAAGCCCTGTGCATTTTCAGCTGCAAATCTACAATTATGGTGGAAAAGCATTACATCCCAGACAGAGAGGCATGATAACAAAAAAGTCTCTCATTTTCCCTTTGTCTAAGGATTTGATTACATGTTCTCAGGCAAATCAGATATCCTGAGATTCACTTGACTCATCCACGGAGCACAAACATTTTCCATCTTTGTCTTTCTGTAGCACTTTATAATCCCAGGATCTCAAAGCCAAGTACCAGGAGACAATACAAAGTTTCTCCCTGAAGGAAAACCACCCAATGTCACAAGGAAAGCTGTAGGCATTTTGACTTACAAAATTACACTGGGTGAGCTCTGAGTACAATCCAGCAGTCAGAGAAAGAAACCCCGAAAAAGTAAAAAAAAATTAACTACCAGAGGCAGAGATTAATATCAGTAATTTACAAATTACCTTATAAAAGTGTTAAAACCCAACAGCAAGCCAACTTAACTTCTCTCTCAAACTTTCTGTCTGCTCTAACTTTCTCTTTAATTTGCTTCCTGTGTCTTTTATAATGGTTTCCTGAGGTTCTGATCACAGTATCATTGTGGCATCAGTCAACTGAAAGCATAATCCTGGAGATACTCCTTTTAAAAGATAATTTCATTTAATTCTTAAATAGGAGAAGAAAATTCATTTCCTCTGACTTCATCCTCTGTTGAATACTTAAACTTGCACTAATCATACATTAAAGAAATAGCATCTGTCAACTTTGAAACCTCAGGTTTTATCACTTAGATACTTTTCTGGTGCCTATCAAAGCAAAATTTTAAAAAATCTTTTTAAAAATCCAGTCACTTGGAAAAAGTCATTTTTTTCACACTGAAATGTCTAAGTGTCTCTTCCCACCTGTAGTAACAGGCACTTAATGAAAAGCAAAAAAAAAAAACCAGCACAGAAATTCCCAGAGATAGCTCACTTTTCTAAATGTGAATAAAACTAAAAACACCAAAAGATTCCATCAAATGCTGACGAGCCTGGAAAAGTGAGAGGCTTCAGAAATGAGATGGCAACTTACTGCTTGAGGCAGACAGTTCTCTTGGGCTGGAGGACATCGGCTGAGCACACATCTGACAGAGACAGTCCCTTCCATTAAAGGTAACTCGATCTCCTGGTGGAAATGGACGCCTGGAAAGTTCAAGAGAAAAATGTATTTTCGCAAAGGTTATGCCAGAAATTTTCCTCTGCTCCCCATGCCTTGAGTTTTCTGCCTTCCTCCAGCGCAATCAATATTTTACAGAAACTCAGGCCAAATAGTTTCTGCAATGTGGCCTTGGCAAAGCCAGGCACTGGAAGAAATCCAATCCATGGATGCAAGCAGAGCAGAGGTTAGACTTGCTTAGTATTTTCATTTAAAGAGATTATCAAACATATTTTATCTGAATAGTAGAGACAGTGAAATCTGCTAAGACTCAACAGCTACATTTATGATGGTCTCAGCGTGATGTTGTGGATAGCAAATGATACAGAAGAGAACTCAAAGAATCAGAACTGTTCTTGAGATTGGTGAAGGAATGTGGAGCTAGTCACTCATAAATGTTAAGAATGTGTGTTAGGCAGAAGTTGACATTGCTGTTAACTCTTATTTGGTGCCTAAGTCAGAGGATGAACAACATTTAATAACTCCAAATCTTTAATAAGGAGTGTTAACTGCTGAGTGCAGACCCCCACCTCACTCCAAAACTGCTTAGCAAATCTACTGCTGATTTCAACAAAACAAAATGTTTCAGGCGTTGTTTCCTTTCCACTGCCATCTCTCTAAGTGGGCCAAAAATAAATCAGCAGCAATACTAAATTTCATTAATCTATTTCGAAGACTCATCTTTTGTTCATTCAACATAAAAAGATTGATGCAATTCAATGTACAGAAAATTGATGTCATGTTTCACATTGTCCCTGGGAAATAAAACTGCAACGTATACATTATATGATTACCAAAATGCAGTAAATTCACACACTATTCAAAAACAGAAAACAATCACATTTTTTTCAATAAAAAAGGGCTTGGAAAATGTACCAGGCTAAAGGACAAAGTACTTCAACTACTTATCAGAGATAGGAGTTTAAAATGCCACCTTACTACCATCCACAGAGCCTTAGCTAACTCCTTATTACTTGCTGCAGAACTGAAGACTGTTTCCCTTACTGGGGACAAGAAAAAGTATTTGGGAAGAGAGGGAATCCCAGTAGTCCCATAGCTACATGCTCTTACATGATTGTTTGTCTGTCCTCTGAGCTCAAATGCGGCATCCAGAATTTTGCTTCACTTCATCTCTCCCACCACGCTGGGCTGATGACCTAAACTCAATTCATGGCCATTATCTCAGTGTGTAAGCCTGACACTTAATTCTTTCAGACATGAGAGTAACTTTCTGAGAACAGGGAACTACATGTCATACAAAATCCATGTCCTCCATATAAATGAGTGGCATTTCCAAGATTTTTCAAGTCAGATCTGCAGCAGATCTTTTATAACAAAATAAACACATCCTCAAGAGAAATCTCTCTTGAGACTCGTGTCTCATGGTGATACCTCTCCTTGTGTCTTCCTTGAACTGGGTTCCTGCCGTGCTATCTGAAAGGATGACTTACTTGCAGACAGTGCAGGCAAAGCAGCTTGGATGGTAAGTTTTCCCCAGAGCTGTCACTACTTCGCCTTCCACAAACTCCCCACAGCCATTGCAGCGGGTGCCGTACATGCGCTGGTAGTCCAAGGTGCAGAGATATTCTCCATTCTTAATAAAAAAGCCTCCTTGTGCCAGGTCACAGCCACACACTGGAAGAAAAAAACAAACCGCTCAGATTAGAAAAATGTCACTACTAAGGATGTTAGCTGCTCAATTGTATCAGTAAAAGGGTGAAGAGCCAGTCAAGGATTTCTGTGACTTGGCAGTTTTTCCCACTGTAAAATGCCTATTCACTCAAACCAGAACACATCACAAACAGGTGCCTGTTTTGCTCTGAGAAAATATTCAGAGTCCTACATTGGCATTTCTGGTCAGCACAGGGACAGAAAGCAATCCTATCTCTAACAGCCAAACCCCATGAAGAGAAAGTGCCATAGGAGATTGAATTTCACACTGTGCCTTTAGCTTGGATTGAACAAATAACTTGAAACTACCTGTTTAGTGTTCCCCTGTATCACCAAAAATTTATACCCAGCATCACTTTTGTTCCTGGCACTCCTCCTGCTCTTCTGTATATTGCTGTATCTGTGTAATTCAGTAAGAGAAACCACTCTTCACAGCAGTCTAACTTAACTCTGCAAGGAATGCCATCTCATCCCCCTTCACAAGATTCAAGTATGTTCGGATCAAATATCAGAAATATTCAATATCAGAGATTGAGTATTAAGGAAAAAAAAATAAGCAGTACACTAGGTCCTTGCAGTTACACAGTCCTTGAAAAATTAAAATATGAAATACAGAAAGATTATCAAGGGGACTGAGTTCAATTTCTCTTTCTGCCACAAGTCCCAAGCACAATACTGTACCCAACATTCATTCTCAGTGCTGTTATAATGGGCTAGTAGTATATTAGCTACCTGCTTTGAAAATTAAAATTGCAAGGCATTTGGGGCAGGGATTGCAAACTTCCTTTGTCTGTTGCCCAGCCCTGGAGGTCTAATGACTGCTACTATAACAATAATTAATAGAACAACAATAAACAGTACTAAAATGCAGCTTAGAAGAAAAGCAGTATCAGTACCAGCATTTTTCCGGTTTCACATTTCTGCATAGACAGTGATAATATTCCATGTGCAAACAAATTACATTTCATGGTGGCATTAAATCCACAAGCAGCCAAAACTCAATTATCAGTGACTGAGGAGAATTACAAAGAACTACTGTTAAGGCTCTGTTAAAAAAAATGCTGCAAAAGGCTCCAAGCTGTTTATTTAGGTAAATCTCCAGAAAAAGAAACAAAACACTTTCAATCCTTCTTTTTCTTTTACTGATCTCCATTTTGTTTAAAATATTATTTTAAAATTAACAGTAAAATATCCTGTTAGGCAGAATGTACAGGTAACCTCTAGACCACAGTTTTCCACTGGAGGTCCAGTGGAAAATGTACTTACAGTAGGTTTGCTCCTCTAAGTTACTTTGGGCAGATCCTTACCATTAAATCATGTAGAAATGGAGAATTCTGCTTTAATGTTTAAAAGATGCTTTAGAAGCTGCCAAACTTCATGAAGTGCTATGGAGTACTCATGTGCCTGTGTGATTACTTATACTGTAGTTTGTAATTTACCTCGTAGCTTTAACACCTAAATATATCTATTTTTCAGCCTCAAGCTGAAGGTGCTCAGTGTGCAGCTGGGTCTGCCTCAGGAGATGAATGTATGAACTCTCTGGCTATTGTGAGAAGCCAGGGCACAGGGAATATTTCTCTGTCTGCTCTGAGGGGTCCTGACCCCCAGAGAAGCTCTGACTTTGACTCTCATTTGTGGAGAAAGCTTCTGAGACTTCAAGATAGACCAGAGTCCACAAAAGTGTGAAATACATTATAGACAGTAGTATTGTATGCCACTTGGGTGAGAAATTTAGGCTTTGGGATTTTTAGCATGTTGCAGATGGGAACAAGATGGAGGGCATAGGGCGTTGTCCTGAGCTCCTTCTTCTTCCTTCTTCTCCATGGGTTTGGGTGATGTCTTGTAATTGGGCAGAAAAGTCCACACTGGGGGCTTTGAGGTATCAATTATTGGGTTAAAAGGGAAAATAATCTGGGTGTCATTTCTTAATTGGATAGTTTAGTCTTAAAAGACCTTGTAACAAGAGATTGTTGGCCATTTTTTGCGGTGCTTTTCCACCACGCAGGGTCTGGTATAGACAGTGTGCAAACCTTTAGATAAGATAACAATAAAGAAGAAGCTGAAGATGGAAAAAGTCCTGTGCATCTCCTTTTCCTGACACAGAACTGCTACAAGAGGGTTTCCTCCCAACAGGGGAACCCCCAGGGATGGGCCCAATGTGAGGCCCAGAAACCAATAGCTATGATCCCCAGTTCTTCACTTTTTGAAGAACTCATTTGGTCACTGCGGCGCCTTTACCTGTCCAGGCAAGATCTAATAAGCTGGGATGATAAAATGTAACTTTCAATACCACCTCTGTTCTAGCTTCGTCTGAAAATCCAGCTTCAGCATCACAAAAAGGTGGCACATCATTGTTTGCACAAACTACTACAAACTTAGAAGGAAAGGGATCATGCACTCACAGTTATCAGGCTCTGCCCCCTTTGCATGCACGACCACAGGGATTCAAGCCTATCGATGAAAATGGGGGCTGAATATTTCACAAGTCTTTTACAGACAGCAATTGCTATTAATCAAAATAAAGCTCCTTCTCCTGCCCTTTTCCTTATGAAGTCTTCTTTCTACCCAATCTCTAACTCATTCTGCAAATAACTCAGAATGGCTGTTCTGATCATGAATTCAGGCCCAAGCAGAAGTGCTCGTGATGTGAGCCCCCAGCAGATTCGTCTCTGGCATACACATAGCAGGAAGCACACACCAATCTGCAAGAATCAGAAACAAGCCCTGGCAACCCCACATTACAAGGGATTTTTGCAGTCAATTTAGCACATGTGTTCCTATCACTAATCACAGCTTTAAGCTACACAGGAAAAACAAGGGTCACCCAGACTGTTAACATCCATGGCTGGAAAAATGCTATTCCAGCCGGCTGCTTTCACTTCGAGTCAGAGATCAAATCAGAAAGGACAAACATGGCTGTACCCACACCCTATGCACAATGTGGTGTGTAACAGAGAAGGGATTGAACAGCTCTTTTTATTTCTTTTTTTTCTGCTTTTTGCAACTGTGCAGAAGTCCTGTCTCTGCCAATGTACCCCCTCAAGCTGACACATACTTCCTTAGCACACACATTTATGGCCCCTATAGAAAAACCACAAAAAAGAAAGGACAAATTGTGATTCTCTTTTATTAAAAAGAAAGACCATATGCCCACCACTGTTCATGCCTCAAGCAGCAGAGGCAGTGAAGAGAAATCAGCTGTGAACTCTACATATGTACAGTTCATTCTGGTGGTGTGATCTATGCAACTGCTGTGGTACACATATGTCATCAGAGAAAAATTTATAGTTAAATGATAGCAGTTAACTGTAAACATGAAATTATTTTTTTTCCTATATTGATGGGAAAAATGACTTTGAAAGAATTACTTTGTGGAGCCAACAGTGATGTACAAATCGTGTTTGAGAAGGCAAAAAGCAAGATGTATTCTGTAAACATCCATCACACAGAAATAAGAAAAACATTTCCCCAAGATCCTACCTGCTCAGTATGATGGGAGAAATTCTGTTTAACATGACCAAAACCCTCTTTATGAAACAGGAGACACTGGGGAGCATTTCTGTTCCCTAAGGTACCTCAAGCATTGAGACAAAAAAAAAGCCAGCATTTTTCTTTAAATGAAAAAAGAAACCATTACCTTCAAAAGCTCTTGGAGGAACTCAGCCTTTCTCTCAGAGTCTGAATATCAAAGAATTTCATATTCCAAACAAATCATCCTGCCTCTCTTGTGAATGGGATAAGATGGAATAGAGTTCTACCTCCCACTGTGAGGAAAACACACACCCACCAGCTTTTTCTGTCTTCAGCTACTCTCTGGAGCTCTTGTTCTGCATCCTTGGAGCACAGAAAGGTTGAGATACTGTCAGGGCTGCTTTCAGCTCCCAAAGCTCCAGGGTCTGTCATGGAAATCTGGGCTGGCCAAGAGCAATCCAGCTGCCTGCAGATTCAGGGACCTGGACCATTCTTAAGGTGAGTCACTTCCAAGTTTTAATGGTGATGATAAAAATGAGGAGACCAGAGTTTTCCAAAGAGAACAAAAGCAGGATTTGATCCTACTGAGCATTATTTAGGATTTCCATATCCTTATAGTCAGGGAGAGTTGAACTCCATGTTGAAGTTAAGTAAAAATTGTTTCAGCACAGAAGAAAAAAAAAAACACACAAAGAGAATCTGTGAATCTGGGCTCTCAGTCTGCAGATATGAATGACATTCATTAAGAAAATTCTAATGATCTACTTTGTTATTGTGCATTAAATAAGGTGCAAATTAAATTATTTATTTCTTGTATTTTTCACCTTCATGGAATAATGGTGCTGTTTTGAAGCAGGGAAATAGTGATACAACAGTTATTCTTAGGACATAATGGATCTGTTGTTTGAAGGTAGAAAGGAATTTGGAAATGTTTCAGTTTATCACCTACATCCAAAAAATACACAGGGAAAATCTGTTTCTTTTTTTTTCCACGTAAGAGTTTAACAAACCCTTAACAATCCCTTAACAAACAAGCAAGGTTCAAGTTCTTATTAGAGTTTAAAGTTTCTGCATTTCAAATGAACAAAGTGTCCTTCTGCCTTTTACTCCTCTTACCAACACTTTTCTTGGTGTTATTCATTTAAAGAATGAATATACATCCAAGCATCATCAGAAAAGCATATAGGAACAGTAAATCTCAGAAGCTGTGCTGCAGCACTACCCTGGCAGGGACATAGCAAGGCACCAGTAAGAAATGCATCCAGCAGTTTGCAAAAGCTGTAACAGAGATATCAGTGAGCATTTGTCACATTCCTGCCACTGGAGATTTTTTTCTGTCATACACTGATGGGAGATGCATTTTGATTGATGCTATTTGGAACTGTGTCCAGCATTCCCAGTGCTTCTGGAATCTCTTCCCATTTCAGCAGATGGACACCAGAAACAACACTGGGAAGTCAAAGCACATAAACATAGAACAGGTACAGGAGACC